GTTTTAAACAGAGATTCTTAGTATTTTAACAAAATATCATCAGAGGATTACAGAAGAGTAGCCTTTTGGTATCCCTCACAGAAATAATGGCTGCCTACCTTATGCACAAAATCCCTCCTGCCTGCCAATTCTACCAGAATCTCTTGTGTTTTTCACTTGTGCTTAAGTATTTGCATGTTCATTTTACACGTGTGCCTATTTGATGTCTGTTCATTGGTCTGCCTGCCATTTAAATCTATGTACTTCAGTGATGCTTTAATTCTTTAAACTGTAGGTTGCCAGAGGAAACAGGGTCTGCCTAATTCCCCTTAATATAGCATCATATTAAGGTAAATGCACTTAATAAGGGCTTTTATTTCAAGAAAAATTACATGCAATATTATGTCACAGAGTTATTTCTTCATGCTGTGTTTTGGAGGGTTCTACTGTTCACCTTCCCTTACAATTAACTTTAAAAAAATCTCTCTTCACACCATCCTCAGTATAGAGGACAAGAGACAGCAGTCCTTTAGGTGTGAAAAAAAATGGCAGTTACGGTCTCCTCATCTCTGGATGTAGCCCTGGTCACAGAACCCTGAGCTCCATTTCCTCAGGATGCAATGCAGATCACGTTGTTTTATAAGACATGCATTTCCCCTGAGGATTTAAGATGGCAGCTTTCTCCTCAAGCCACCAACCTTCACATCTCTGTATGTCAAAAATGCTTCTCTCTTTTTTTTTAAGCTCTTATTTTACAAATGAGGGAATTAAGATCCTCAGAGGTTAAATGGCTTGCTCATGGGGACACAGCTAATTAGCAGACCTGCAGACATCATTCATCAACCTTAAAAATGTCCTTTTAGTATGTTGTCAAGTATAACCTATTACCCTTAAGAAAGCTCCTTTCCTAAGAGCTAGGAGTTTCGTCAATACTATCCACCTTCCTTTATAATTAACTTTTGTTTTATCCCTCTTAATAGAGTCCATAAAATAGAGGACAAGCAGCAGTAGGTATTTGTAACCTACTACAGTCTCTGTATATTATTAAACCAAATTTAAAACAATGTAAATTACTTAAAATAAGAAGCAACCAAGGTCTCATCAACATAATAAAGTCTGAGCTATTTTATTTTATGTTCTTTCCCAAACTTCCTTTTTATTTATTAATATATATATTTTAGAAGGCTGTGTGTGCCTGCTTAGTCACTCAATTATGTCTGACTCTTTTCAACCCCATTGATTATAGCCCACCAGTTTCCTCTGTCCATGGAATTTTCCAATCAAGAATACTGGAGTGGGTAGCTAGCTATTCCCTTCTCCAGAGGGTTTTCACAACCCAGGGTTTAAACCCAGGTCTCTTGCATTGCAGGCAGATTTCTTAACATCTGAGCCACCACGGAAGTCCTCAGAAGGCTGTAGTAAGTAGTATTTGTTAAATACATGTTTATGTGTATTATTCTATTTTTTCCTTAACATTATCTCATTCATTTTTCTTTTTTATAAAAGTATAGAAATATATATACAAAAATAACTGCATAATCATGATGTATACTCAGTCACTGAGTCATGTCTGACTCTTTGCAACCCACAGACTGTAGCCTCCAGACTCCTCTGTCCATGAGACTTTTGCAGGCAAGAATATTGGAGTGGGCTGCCATTTCCTCCTCCAGGGGATCTTCCTGACCCAGGGATCCAACCTGCATCTGTTGTGTTTCCTGTATTGGCAAGTGGATTCTTTACCACTAGAACAACCTGGGAGGCTCCATAATCATGCTACAAGAGGATAATTACCTTAGCCTTTTCCCTACTTTGGGGCACTTAGGACAGTTCCAATTTTTCACTGTTATGAGTAGCGCATAAGAGAACACATTTGTGGGACTTACCTGGTGGTCCAATGGTTATGATTCCACACTTCCAAGGCAGTGGATGCAGGTTTGATCTCTAGTCTGGGAACTATTAATAAGTAAGATCCCACATGCTGCATGACATGGCCAAAAACAATCTTAAATTTAAAAAAAAAACACACTTCTACAACTAGAAGCCCAGCAATCTTTACCCAGGAAACCATGCTTGGGACAAATGTCTTCTTGCCAAATGAAAACTCTGGTTCAGACTTACCCTTTGTGAAGCAGGTCATGCAAATATTGAGCTTTGTTTTGACACAGCATACATTTGCTTTGTCAAGATGGGGACAGCAATGAAATGAACTTGTCTTTGAGATGTTTAAATGTTTTCCTTGGATAGTAGATTTTTTTTTTTTTTTTTTTTTTTTACTGAACTGTAAACTCTATGGGTAAATATTTTTCTTCATTTAGAATAGGAATAGAAGTCAATCCGGATTGACTGGTTTGACCCCCTTGCTGCCCAAGGGACTCTCAAGAGTCTTCTCCAGCACCACAATTCAAAAGCATCAATCCCTCAGTGCTCAGCCTTCTTTATGGTCCAAATCTCACATCTATTCATGACTGCTGGAAAAACCATAGTTTTGACTACACCAGCCTTTGTAGGCAAAGTGATGTCTCTGTTTTTAATACACTATCTAGGTTTGTCATATGTCATACCATGTCATGTATCACATTGAAACTGAGCAAAAGTGAGAGGATACAATTGTACCCAGTTGTTTTATTTAAACAGTTTTATTGAGATATAATCCACATACTGGACTCATTTAAAGTGTACAATTCAATGACTTTTAGTATATTCACAAATATACATAACCCTCTCACAGTAGCACATTTTTATCACCACGTAAAGAAAGTTTATACTCTTTAGCTATGACCCCTTCCAAACTTCTCTCTCCCTAACCCAAAGCAACAACTAATCTGCTTTCTGTCTCTGTAGCTTTTCCTATCTGGACTTTCATACAAAGGGACTCATATAACCTGAGGATCATAGTATCTAACTTCCTTGACTTAGCATAATGTCTTCAAGGTTTATCCAAGTTGTAGTATGTGTCAGTACTTCTTTCCTCTTCATAGCTGAATAATGTTATATTGTTTGGATGTACCATATTCTGTTTATTCATTAATCAATTGATGGTCATTTGGGCTGCTTCAGTCTTACAGCTATTGTGAACAAGGTTATGATAGACATCTATCTATGTGTGTGTTTGTGTGTGTGTATGTTTTTATGTCTCTTGACTATATACCTAGGAATGGAACTGCTGTATCATATGATAATTATCTTTAATCATTTGAGGAACTGCCGAACCTTCAAAGTAGCTGCACCATTTTACCCTTCTGCCTTCATTGAATGAAGATTTTGGTTCCTCCACATATTCATCAGTAGTTGTTTTATCTGACTTTTTTGTTTTGGCCACCCTAGTGGATATTTTTAACACCCTGATGGGTGTTATGGTCACCTAGAGGTGCCAGAACTATATTTACATGATCGTGGAAGACTATATGTCATTGTCTCTCAACTCCTTGGAAAAAAGCAGATCTGACCAATCACAGAAAAAGCTCGAGCCAAAGAAAAAGTCAAGGGCAAGGCAGCTAAAAACATAAATAAATTATATCAGACACATGGGCTTACATTTAAAGACTGTTTATGCAATCCACATGTCTACACATCCTTTCAGTTTAACATGAAACTTTTGGAAATTCCTTTCATTAGCTGGTTTCAGTTGCAAAATGGTAGTTAGTCATCAAATATGCCCCCTTAACTCCACCCCATCTTCATTTCCTTCTCTTTTATCCAAAGTTACTTGTGAATGTGAAAAAGTTAATTCTCTGAAGTCTCATACTACTCAGCTTTCACGATTATGAGGCATTTATTTTTTCAATACAAAAATTTTTTACTGAGCATCTCCTATATCCAGACTCTAGTTATGGAAACTGTTGAAGCTCCAGTTGTGAACAAAACGAGATAAAATCCTTACCGCCTTAGGACTTACCATATAATGATAAAGAAGTTATCAATCAATCACATAAATAAGTCATAAATCTACACCTGTTCTAAGTGCCACAAGGTACTTAATTCAGAGGTTTTCGAAAATGGTGAGTGCAGAGGAAGTTGGGAAGTGGATTGGTAGAGAAACTTTCTTTGCTGGGAATGTGTGTAACAGTGAGATGTTGAATTTATGGCAGCACATTAAGAGTTCCATTCTATCTCAACTTTTCTGTCAGACCAGACCATACTAAAATATAGCTTCTGGTGAAGCTTCTGGGAGTTCAGAAAACAAAAATATAATGTATTTTTCCTTATAGGAAACAAAAATAATTTTCCTAAAATTTTTTAAATAATAATTATTTTACTGTTACTAAAGTTTGTATCCTGTTAAACATGTCTATTGTGCCTGTTAGCCTCTCTACTAAGCTACATCAAACATTGAAATATGTTTAGATGGACTTGATTATATGAAATCTATTTTTTATATTTTTCTTTATTTCTTTTTATTTCAAATTCAACTTATTTTTACAGGCATTTGTTGTACCATTTCTTTTATTATTTAAGATGTTTATGTCACATAATCTATAGCCCTTTTTTGACCATTTGTGGTTTGCTCTCTTACTTTATCTACAAGTAGATTTAAAGTTTGTTTTAATAAAAGCAAAACAATTTCTCAGCCATTTCTAATCTGTTTCAATCTAAGAAACAGATTTGATCTTTCAAAAATTTATATCAAAGTTTAACTTGACCTTTAATTTATATGCCTATAATTTATTGTTTGAACATGATTATTTGGAAGAGTAGGCTTCCAAATGAGTGAAGTTTACCTGGATTTTACTTGATTTAAGTACTTCTTAATATATGATATTGTACAACTGATACAAGCTCTGAGGTCAGATCTGAGCTTGAATCCAGACTCTATTACCTTTGGTGTGATCTTGAACAAGCTATTGAATCCCTCTGAACCTCAGTTCTTTCATCCCCCTAAAATTTAAAAATGTAACACCTTTGCAAGATTTTTGACATTAAATAATAGAATTTGTATAAAACATTTTATGCATTTAGTAAAAAATATTATAAAAAGGTAACCTGTTAAATAATTATTTTGTTTTGTATTTCCACCACTTTAGATTAATCTGGGATGCAAGAAAGCTTATTTTATCCCTCCCAGGAGACTTACCAGGCAATTTTTGTTTTTAAGCACAAAGCCTTCTTGACCAACGAGAAAGGTAAGCAGTCTCTTTTGTGTTACTTGGATCTGAAGTCTGGCTTCTTAAGAAATCAAACACCAGCTGATTAGCCATCAAGTTCTATTGATGGAGAAATGTGTTTGATGAAATGTTAAGGTTTTGTTTTATTTTATTAAAGGAAAAAATATGAAAAGATAAAGGCAGCTTGTCCATGGGTGGAAGCCTGGAATCTGAAGAAGGAGAATTCTAGGAATTTAGAGGGTAGAGCCTGGACCCTGCTCAGATGGAGATGGGAGGATTTCAGAATGGTGGTGGGGTGCCACTGATTAAGGGGAGCTTCTTGGGGAGCCTTTGGGAGGCCCTAGGTCTATGCTTAGTAAACAAAATCTGCTTATCTTCTGGGTATGGAGTGTGTTAGTGGCACCAAGAAATAGTTACAGAGTGATGGTGGGTGACCAGTTCACTTCCAGTTCACAGTAGGACTGAAAGCACCCTCAGCAGTGTGGTAGTCACAGCCCAAAAGACCAAAGCTCCTCCCTTCCAGTAAATTAGAAAAGTGATGGAGCACTTTAAAGACCTGTGAATTCTTGAAAAATTCCAAGGAAAAGGAAAAATCACCACTAGAAATACCATCGAGGTTAGACTTTGAGCCACATTATTTTTTTTCTATTATAGAGTGAGAAAGTGAAACATCTTGCACTTTTTGTGATTAAATAAAAAAGAAGGGGGGATATTTTAACTGAAGTATAATTTGCTTACAATATATTAGTTTCAGATGTATAACACAGTAATTCATTATTTTTATACATTGAGAGATGATCAACCACAGTAAGTCTAGTTGCATCTGTCATCATACAAAGTTACTACAATATTATTGAATATGTTCCCTATGCTGCAATTACATCTCCATGATTTATTTATTTACGACTGGAAGTTTGCACCTCTATGTCTCCATCTATTTCACCCCTCTGCCACCGCCTCTTTCGTTTGGCAACCACCAGTTTGTCCTCTGTAACTGTGAGTCTGTTTCTGTTTAATGTTTTGGAAATTTATTTTGGTTTTTAGACCCTATATATAAGTGAAATTAGATGGTATTCGCTTTACTCTGCTTGACTTATTTCACTCAGCGTGATGCCCTCTAAGTTCACCCATATATATGGCACATTTTTTTTATTCACTCATTTATCAATTGCTTAGGTTGCCTCTGTATCTTGACTATTTTTAAAAAAATTGTAATGAACATTGGGGGTTCATATATCTTTTCAAATTGGTGTTTCCATTTTCTGCAAATAAATAACCAGAAGTGGAACTACTGGAATATATGGTAGTTCTATTTTTAATATTTTGAGGAACAGTCATACTATTTTCCCTAGAGGTGGTACCAATTTACATGCTCACCAACAGCGCACAAGGGTTTCCTTTTCTCCACATCCCCAGCAAAACTTTGTTAGCTCTTGTCTTTTTTATAATAGTAATTCTAAATGTGTGTGGTCCTTTGTCCATTTTTAATTGACTTTTTATATTGAGTTATATGAGTTTTTCATATATTTCGGATACTACTCCCTTATCAAATATTGTTGTTGTTGTTCAGTCACTTAGTCGTGTCCTACTCTTTGCAACCCCATGGACTGCAGCACTCCAGGCTTCTCTGTCCTTCACTATCTCCCAGAGTTTGCTCAAACTCCTGTCCGTTGAGTGGGTGATACCATCCAACCATCTCATCCTCTGTCGTCCCCTTCTCCTCCTACCTTCAATCTTTCCCAACATCAGGGTCTTTTCCAATGAGTTGCCTCTTTGCATCAGGTGGTCAAGGTAGTGGAGTTTCAGCTTCAGCATCAGTCCTTCCAGTGAACATTCAGGGTTGATTTCCTTTAGGATTGACTGATTTGATCTCCTTGCTGTTCAAGGGACTTTCAAGAGTCCTCTCCAACACCACAGTCCGAAACCATCAATTCTTCAGTACTCAGCCTTCTTTATGGTCCAACTCTCACATCTGTACATGACTACTGGAGAAACTAGCTTTGACTATAAGGACTTTTGTTGGCAAAGTGATGTCTCTGCATTTTAATACACTGTCTAGGTTTGTCATAGCTTTCCTTCCAAGGAACAAGCAACCTTTAATTTCATGGCTGCAGTCACCATCCGCAGTGATTTTGGAGCCTAAGAAAATAAAGCCTATCACTGTTTCCATTTTTACCACATCTATTTGCCTTGAAGTGATGGGACAGGATGCCATGATCTTAGTTTTTGAATGTCGAATTTTAAGACGGGGTTTTCACTCTCCTCTTTCACCCTTTTGAGAGGATTTTTAGTTCCTCTTCACTTTCTGCCTTTAAAGTGGTATCATCTGCCTATCTGAGGTTGTTGATATTTCTCCGTGTGACCTTGATTCCAGCTGTAGAGTTAGTTAATAGATTTCATTCATGTTTTTCTAAGTGCCCTTTAAGCTACTATTTTTTTGCTGACCCCAGAGTAGGTCAGCCTATGCATGGGCCCCTCCTTACTGCAGGTCACTCTGCTGGGGACAGAGTTCTTGTCAATATGTCTCCCTCTCCCTTACTCATCTCTGTGTGGTCCTTTATCATTGGTTGTACAGAAGTTCTTCAATCAGCTCTCAGGTCTCCTTCAGGAGGAACTGCTCTATTTGTAGGTGTAGATTCGGTGTCTCTGTGGGAGGAGATGAGTTCAGGGTCTTCCTATGCCAAAATTAAAACCCCCAAAAAATGACATTGTTTATTCTCTAAGTAATGCAAAGCAACTTATAGCTATTGCACATATCTGAAAAAAAGAACAACCATTAACCATTTGATAATTAGAAAATGCCTATACATTATTTTGGCAACATCACTGCCACTGCCAATGCATACATGTTATTGTTATTATTTCATATTTGTGAGTCCTTTTTTCAAATAAAATCCTGTGCTCTAGAAAGCAGGCATAAACCATAGGAGGCCTGATTCTCCTCTGATCTCTTCTTCAATCCTTCTCTTTTCCTTCTTCCTATATCTGTCTCTGCTTGTTTCTCTGTCCCTCCTTTGCATTTTCAATTCTTCTTTCTCTTTTCTTTCCTTTTCTCCAGATTCTGGCTCTTCCTCAATTTCTCCTCTTACCTCTTTATCTCTTATGTTATCGTTTACAATTACCCACCTCCCCATTCCCTATTATACCTCTGTTTCCCACTCATCTTCCTTCTTGCCACCCCTGCCATTAACCTCATTCCACTTCCTTGCCTTGCATTTGCTTTTCAGAATAGACTTTTCTTTAAATAGAGACAGTGATCTAGATCTATTTCCCTAACTTGTCCACAAGGTAAATCTAATCACTCAGACCATTGTAAGTGGGAAGTATCAAATGTAAGCACTTGAGTATCTTATTTTCTGGACAATGATTCTGAAATCTGCATATGTCTCTGAAGAAAACTTCTTGTTTGAATTAAAAGTGTCAATAACATCTACAAAATCTTTTTTTAATAGTTTATCTTTCAGGTTAAAAAAAAGACATGGTCACTGATGTGTTCTTTGGTGCTAAGCTTGAAAAGCTGAAAGGAGGCACATATTCAGATAAAATGTCTTGTGAAGCAAAAGCAAAATACCTCAGTGTAATAAGATTATGTATTAAAATAGCTGAAGTAGAAAAAAGTATATGTAATATTCCGCCTACCTAAGTAATTATGACTTACCATTTCTTTTACTGCTTTAGCTTCAAGGCCTGACCTTGTTTACCCTTGGAACTTCTGTTCTAGAAGCAGAAAGAGCATTGTGTGGGCTGAGGACAGGCAGCAGGGCTCCTGACTCTTACAATGGTGTTGATTTGAATAAAAGGGCACAGCATTTCCTTTTGCTCTTTTAAGGAGTGGTAGTATTTTTCTGAGAGTCTAATCAACCAAAACAGTAGAGTCAGTTAATGCCCATGCAGTGTACTTTTTACCTTGGGACCTTTTCATCAAATCCCTAATAGGAACTTATGAAGCATTTTCTAACAAATAAAATGAGTCCCTGTGAACAGAAGGTTCCTAATGAAGAGGGATAATGCAAGCAGAGAAGAAAAATATGAGAGAAGAAAGCTTGTGCTTTCCTGTAACTGTTGTTTACTTTTAAGGCAAGGAGTGTTATTATGACAACCTCATGATTCAAGGTAAGAGGATGCAGTCTCTTCTGTTGTAAAATTTGAAGAGAAGGACTTTCTGACATTCAAAATATTACTCATCTTTGCCTTCTCTGATATTCCACAATTAGACAGTCATTCCTTTGGATAAACTGATCTCCTGTGAGCTGAACAGAATTGATAAATCAGTAAAACATACCTGAGGACAATTTCCCAAAGAACTGATTCTGCATCAGCACTGTCCAATAAAAATCTAATTTGAGTCCTACACAGTTTTAACTTCTCTAGGAACTACATTAAGAAAGTAAAATAAAGCAAACAGGTAAAATTATTTTAGTAATATATTTTGTCTAATCCAAGGCAGCCAAAATATTATCATTCAAACATGTAATAAACATGAAACATATTAAAGAACCATTTTACTTTTTTGTGCCTGACACAAAAGGGTAAATATTACATGAGTCAACATACATGAGGTACCTAAAATAGTGAAATTCATAGAGACAGAAAGTAGAATAGTAGTGGCCAGGGACTTAAAAGGAGGAATAGGTAGTCATTTTTTAATAGGTAAAAAGTTAGTTTGGGGTTATAAAAATTGTCTGCAAAAGATGGTGGTTATAGTTGCATAAGATTGAGAATTACTTAATGCTACTCATCATATTACTTAATGCTCCTGGGCTTCCCCAGTGGCCCAGCAGTAAAGAAGCCACCTGCAATGCAGGCGATGTGGAAGAGATGGGTTCGATCTCTGGGTTAGGAAGATCCCCTGGAGTAGAAAATCACAACCCACTCCAATATTCTTGCCTGGGAAATCCCTTGGACAGAGGAGCCTGGAGGGCTATAGTTTGTGGGGTCACAAAAAGCTGACATAACTGAGCATGCACACACATGTATGCTGCTACTCCCCCCCATATCCATATCCACTAAACATGTAC